TATAGTCTTGCATGCGATCATTATAAGAGACACCAAGATTTGTGATAAATCGGTTATCAAGATGTTTCATAATCAACACACATACGTCATTGTCATTGATTCCCCTTTCCATTTTTTTCTCTTTCTTTCTTTATTAAGTAAAGTTTTTTCTTTAAATTTTTTTTATTCAAGGACGCAAAAAAAGATTGTTAAATGATTCAATGCATTCAAACAAATATGTATGCTAGATGGATAGATACTTATGGATCAAAATTATGATCTTTTGGAACTTGAATAAAGCTCTTTTTAAATTTAGCATTCAAACTCGCTTTTAGGAAATATGTGAAGTGAATTCTTTAATGAAAAGGTCTTCTAATATTAATATTTAGCAAAAATCGGATCGAAATTAACCAATGAAATTCAATTAAAATGTCACGCAAATAAAATCAAATCATTGGCCATTGAAATCTATAAGCCAAAATCATGTGACCGAACAAAAATGAAAAGGATTTGGAATACCATTTAAATATCCTTATTAACAAAAGAAAATAACTTATCAAGCAGGTTAATGCTATTTATCAATGCATATTCTACAACAGGGCCCTGCAAAATATATAGATAGGTTACATACAAAAATCAGTTTGATATAGGGTTTGACCCACACTGTGATTGGCTTATTGGAGACAATATTTCCAAATTTGCTAAACATGTTCCAAATTTGGTAATTTTCATCAACATTGCATTTTCTAATAGTAAAATTTTTAGGTCTTTTACTATAAGATTTGACTCGGCTGTGGCAGTAATCTATCTACATAGTTTGCGGGGTCCTGGTTTAATTAAAAGTAAAGAGAAGATAGAGCAAGAAGAGGGTGTCAAGTTGTTGAAAGGTAGGTTTAATGAAAACGTATTTAACAAAAGGAGAAAAATAATGGAAATATTTAAAGAATCCAAACGTCTTTTATTTTGCGTTGGGACATTATAATTAGAACATTATAATATGGCAAGAATCTATAATAATGAATTGTTTGTTGTCAATGGATCTTGAAAATTCACAAGCACAATCTATAAAAAGAACAAGATGGTCTTAATTAAGGTTATTATTAATAATTTTCTAATTATTTATGAAAGATCATTATAATTATTAATCTAAAATATCGTTAAATATCGAGGGTAAATTAGGAATTGCCATTGTAGCAAATCTAAAGCTCTTTATTGCTTAATTAAGTTTAACCCACCCAAAGAGAGCAATCTTTTTTTGCCGGGCAATTATGGAAAAAGTTAAGGACGGGAAGCACGTTTAACTACAGTAGCAACTGTTGGTATTGTATCACCTCATTATGGCAGGATATTATATAATTTAATTAAAAAGAAAAATTATAAATGATCAACCCCATTCTTCTTAAAAATGTTAAATCTATCAGAAATAGTAATCCATATTATTTTTTTTTGGCGCAAGCAAATTCTCCAAGAATGCACAAGACATATTGGGGATTTTTGTACTATTTTTATATATCGTGATTTGTGCGATAATAGTTATTTATATATAAAGAGGTTCTCTAAAATTTTTTTCTCAAATTTACACAAACACAGCTGTAAAGATATAATATTTTAATTTGATTAATATTTTGTTATTATTGCTTTTTTTCTCATCCTTTTCTTTCTTTTGTCTTTTGTTCCTCATTAGGTATATTTTTTCTTTTCCTTTTTGTTAGTTTCTTCATTCCCTTTTTCTTTTTCACGTCATTAACCACAATTAGATATATTTCGTGTGTTGACTAAAATTTTAATTAATAATTAATATTTATCAGATATATATACACTGTTAACATTATATATAAAAGAGATAACGGACACTATTACTAGTAGTAGAAATATTGATTGTTTTTCCATGACCACTTTAATATCAACATATTTCAGTCCGCACAAAAAACTATTTCAACAATATGGTAGTTCCTCAATATTTAATTCGCCTGTTGGAACTGATAATGATAGTGATGGGAATGATTATAATAATAATGGCAATAATATCAACGACAACAACAACAACAACTACAACAACAACAACAATAACAATAATAAATTCATTTTATGGCCTTTACCAATGGTCACAAGATATTTCATGCTATTTTCAATAATATTTTCATCATTAAATTGGACAGGTTTAATAACATTAAAATGTTCAGCACCTTTATTTGTTATTTACAATTCTGAATTTATAAATTTAATATTTTCACCTTTCTTATTCTCACCTTCACTGATAAGTATTTTTTTGGCTTCTACCAATTTGTTGACATTTGGATTATTTGAGGAATCTTTAACTTCGATGTTGGGAGGAACTAAAAAATTCTTGCGCACTGTTTTATTTATGATATTTGAAGTTTGCATGTTAAGACAGATTACCGGATATATATTTACAAGATCAACTGGCTGGACATTTCCAATTTTATTTTTTAATGATTCGTTACATGAATGTAATCAAGGTAATGAATGAATAATTGATTTTTTTTACTTATTTTATATATATATTTAATGTAATATATAATATATATATATATATATGTGCAATATTTTCAATTATCTTAATCTTCATCTTTACATGTTAATTTCATTATCTTCATCAATTTCTAATATCAATTTCCAAATTAAATTTATAGGTTTAGCACCATTTTTATTTTGTTTACTAGTTTTACAATCTCTAAATATAGAAGATAGGTATGTTATTTATTATGGTGATAAACTTCACACAAAAATTACATTAAGAAAAATTACATTACAATTTTTCTTGTGCATGTTAAATTATACACAAAAAAATATTTTATGGTGGTCAATGACTGGTTTACTCACTGGATTCTTTACAACTATTATAATACATATAATTTTATTAAAAAATAATACTAATAACATTAGTAATAATAATAATAATAATAATATAATAGATTATGATAGTAGTGACAATGATCTGGGCAATCTTAATATCAACAAATCAAGTGATGATTTAAATGCACAAGTCTTAAATCATTCCAATTCATCATCATCACCATCACCATCACCATCACCG